AACCCAAGCCCATGAGCTCCTTTTATARTAGTTGGAACACATCTCCTCCTYGTACTTTTCYGATGTGGGACAACTTCTAGCACATGGAGACCATCCTYGTATTCTTCMAATGTGGGACAACTTCAATTCCAATATTTYGCCAAAACCCAAYAAATTCCACCTTKRCAAGATATTGAAAAAAGTTCACARCTTSTACTGYACTCATTGTCTTCACCRACAATCATAATTCTCAATTCAGAGAACTATAGCCTACTCCACCATAAAAGTAGATCACTTGGAATGTCGCCTTCCAAGATTTTTCTTCCTCGTCACATGTCGATAAATCCTGCTGAGATTTATGGTGCAACTTCCATCTACTTGGCTCACTTGGAAGTTCTTCAGCCATCGACATAACTTCCACCACACACACCGTGCATAACCGCCAAGCCAATACCTATGTGTAAACTTGTGGAACCGCTAACATCACATCCTCTATCATGATAAAGAGGACATACCATGAGGATGAATTCTCTCTCTCTTCAAAGGAACTGATCATCGTCTCCCCTGATGAGAGAAACACTGTCAGCATCCCGCCCAGAGCCCTTTGACGAACCGGCTCTATTGGGACAGTCTTTCTTCATGTGTCCAGACTGTCTGCATTCCCAGCAACAAGCTTTCTTTTGTACGGAGTCTTTCTTCTTCTTCCAATTGCTAGCTACCACTGCCGAATCTTCATGTGAAGTACGCCCTTCACTCCTCAGTATTCTTTCCTCTGACAAGAATTTACTAGTAACCTCGGCAAAATTCAAAGTATCCTTCCCTACATCAAGATCGGCTTCATGTGTTCATAAGAAGGTGGAAGTGATAAGATGAGCCTGAGTGCTTTATCTTCGTCATCTATCTTCACTTCGATCGCCTCCAGCTCAAAGATGATGCTATTGAGATTACTCAGATGATCTGAAATTTTCATACCTTCCTCCATTCGCAGCGTGTGAAACTGCTCCTTCAGGTACAGTCGATTTGAGATGCCCTTTGCCTGATACAAYGCTTCGAGCTTCTCCCAAAGTTCTTTGGCTKTCRAAATTCCATGCACATTCGCAARAATATTCTTAGCCAAACYTGTTCGTATCRCGCTTGCAGCTCTCAAATCCATTTCCTCCCARTCTTCATCACTCATGCTAGAYTTCTTAGAACCTCTGCTGGAACCACCACTGGACTCMATTGRACCAYMATCACCGCTTAGCTTTTCMGAAGCACCTTCACTCRRTCTTCCCTTCAACGCCTTGTGTAACCCAGATTGTATCAGCACATCCTTGACTTGCACTTGCCACAAGCCAAAGTTGATCCTTCCGTCAAATTTCTCCACATCAATCTTCACTGGACTCATAAAGAATGACATATCTGCCTCACACTCCTAGCAAATCTGCAAATAGTGAACAAGCCACACTATTCACAGAACCGTAGCTTGTTTCAAGAAATCTTTTCTGATGTGGAAGTTCAGATAATGCTGTAACCACAGAGCATACTCAGAAATTCTAGAAACTACAAACCTAAAGCTCTGATACCACTTGTTGGGAAAAAATCCCCTACTTCTACCGCAAGAATAAGCAGAAAATAACTGAGAAATTTAAAGAAACACAAGAATTAACGTGGAAAAACTCCAAACCGGAGAAAAAACCACGGCCCACAAGGGAAAATCCACTATGTGAAAAATTATTACAATCACACAGATTTCTCTCCCCGACCCCAATTACACAAAACACTCTTTCAAAGCAAATACCACTCAGTTAACTAGAGCTAGTATATTAGGCTTAAAGTATTTCAATTGGGTTGATAAAAACTCAAGCTCATGAGCTCCTTTTATAATAGTTGGAACATATCTCCTCCTCGTACTTTTCCGATGTTGCACAACTTCTAGCATATGGAGACCATCCTTGTATTCTTCAAATGTGGGACAACTTCAATTCCAATCTTTTGCCAAAACCTAACAGATTGGACATGTCATGCCGATGTTAGCTTGTATACTTTCATGGTGGCTAGGAGTCTTCCTTTAAGAAATCCCTTATTAGTTGGACTTTTTTTTTCCTACACAGAGAAGGCTATTTTTATCCCACAACAATTTACATATAACTTTAAACAAATTAACGAATAAATTTGCTAAGAAATTTGTAGTTCTTGAATTCTCAGGACTTTCAAAACAATAACGTGATAAATATTCATGAGAAAGTACTCCGATGGAATGCTTACTTTGTCGGTGTATATCATGCCAAAAAAATGCAAACAACGCAAAAATTGCCAAAAAAAAAAAAGATCAAGTTGACAAAATGAAGAAACTTTTTGAATATGCCACATACTCACATTTAGGGTGTCTTTAAAAGTTCGAATCATAAATTTGTATTTTGATTAGTTTAAACAGAAGATTTACTCCTATGGTATATATATATATTAATTGAATTTTCTTTTATTTAAAATTAAATTTAAATTATTTTGAGATATTATATATATTTTTTTAAATTAATTCATTAAGTGGGATTCTTCCGAGATTTTTGTCTTGATTTAACCTTTAATTTGTTTGCCAATTTTTTCTTATAATATATTTTACGTTTTTTTATCGTGCAATTGCAATTTTTTATTTATTTATTTTTTTGTGGGTTTCTTTCATTTTGAATACATTGACGCCTATTTAACAAAAATTATAATATGAATTACTTTACTATTATTTTACACTACTTTTAGGTTTACATTTACTATAATTTTTTACAATATACAACTGATTAATTAACTCTCACATTTATTCTTTTATAATTATCATACGTCCACGTCTCGAGATGATATGTGGCCTTAGACAAAATTTTGAAACAGAATCTTAATATGACTATTTTTTCTGTTGAACTTTATTTGATTAGGTTTTTGTTTATGTTTTGATTTATCTATACCTATTATTTATTCGGTTATTGTATTGTTTTTATTACTTTTAGTTCTACTAAAAAAATTTATTGATAACATTTTTTCATAGTCAATCTGTTTTTGTAGCACATTTTTTTAGATTCAATAAATTTTTATATTTTATGTTTTCTTAAGCATTTCATATCCATATTCATATTTTTCTATAGACGTATTAGTGTTCTATACTGAAACAATAAAGAAAACCTAAACAAATCACTATATTGAACAATATGAAATACATTTTCTAAAAAGTAAAAGAAATGGAACGAAAAAACTGATTGTGGATACTAAGATTTAAAATTTATTTATTTAAAAATATAGGTATTTAAAAGTAGATAAAGATATAAAAAAAATACCAACATTTTAAATTGTGGGTACTATATTTTTATATATCACGAAAAACATCTCTACAGAATTAGGATATGTTTGTACTGTGGAGTTTTTCATGACATATTAAACTAAACTTCCATTAAATTTTTTTTGATAGGTTCTTTTTTTAGTACAACATGTGTGGTGGGTATCAAATTCAAAACCTCTTGAATAGAGATATGCATCAATTATGAGTTCTGCTCGCTTTGACTTTAAATAAGGTTCTCATAATAAAAAGATAATCGTTTAATTTCATTTTAAATTAACGGGCTAACAATAATATCATCTTCAACTCAAAATTCGTATGCTTGTTAACATATTTGCTCATCTTCCGATCCTTATAAATGCTCCCCGATTGTTCAGGCACGAGTAGTCCTTCTTTTTTTGTGGTCGATAAGCTATCTCTAAAGTATCTATGATCTCATTTAGTCTCTCAAAAGAAGTTCATCACTTTCAATTGGTGGGTTAGTTTCTAAATTCTCTAATTCTGCAACTTCTTTAATCAAACTTTTAGTAGGCTTAAAATACCTATGATCTCATTTAGTTTTTAGATGAAAATGGAAATTAAGTTTTTTTTTTTTTTTTTCAAATTTGAAACTACAAAATATCAAATTCAAATAAGCTACTACAAAGTTATATTAAGCTATCATTTTTGTGCTTATCTTGAAATAAACGTAACCTTCAATTACTTTGTTTAATTTTCAATTTGAATATTGTTAGTTTAATTTTGAATTTGAATATCGTTTGTTTAATTTAAAATTTGAATCTTATTTTTTTAATTTTGAATTTGAATCTTTATTATCTTCATATAATAATGCTCCTTTGTTCTTTTATATATATGTTGTTGAAACAAATTCTATATTTTTTGTTAGTGTAAATTTTTCACAAATAAAATAATAGATTCTATAGAAAGAGACGGTTGACCATTTTTATTATATCTAATAGTTTTCCTCCAATTTTTTTAAAAGCAATCTTTTGGCCCTTCATTCCATTGCCCCTTTTATTATGTAACTATTTAATTTTTGTAGTTTACAAATATAGTCTCGCATCAATTTATCGATTTTTTTCATGCTATATAAATTTGAATAGTAAAAGAAGTTTCACACTCTTCTTCTTCTGTTTTTTTAAATCATGATGTATTTGAAATAAATTTCATTGTTTGATTTTTACGGATTTGAAGTCTTACCGGATTTCAAATCCAATTTTTATCTAAAAATATTTCCAAATTAAAATTTGCCATTTTGAATAATTTCATAGAATTTCAAAATAAATTATAATTTTAACTTTGTGATATTTTAATTTCTAAATAATAAATTTTTATTATTAAGTAAAATTTTTATTTTCTTTTCATTTTTAGCAAACATCCAAACAAACAAAGAAATTTAATTTATTTCAGTATTTCAAATCATTCTCGTTCCAAACAAGATAAGAAATTTAAAATTATTTCTTGGATTTTAAATCATGGAATTTTAAATCATTTCTTAAACTTTCTCGACAGCAGACATAGAGTACATCTTTGACTGGAAATAGTCTTTCAACTGTAGGACGGTTTTGATTCTTAATAAATCCCTAATCTATAAATAAAAAAATAATGAGTTGAATTTAAAACGTTTGGAAATAATCGAACCCACACCCAAACCAAATCCATGCACTAAAAAACTAGTATATAAAGGTGTGAATTTTATGCATGATTTTTCCAACCAAAACCAAAAGCTCTCTTCTTTTAGGTTTCCCAAAGAAATGGAAAACCCAACAAAGAAAACCCACCTTCTCATCTTTGCAACCATAATAGTCTCTTGCCTTGTTTGCTTGTCATCAGCAAAACCAAACTCAGCCTCAGAAGGGTTCAGTTATGATCCGTGTAGTGAGAGAGGGCCTCAGCATTGGGGGGATCTCGAGGAACAATGGGCAAAGTGTAAGAATGGCAAAATGCAATCTCCCGTAGCTTTGTCTTTGTGGAATGCAACTTTCAATGGGTATTTAGGTCAGCTGAGGAGAAACCATTGGCCTGCAATTGCAATTCTTGAGAACAATGGCCATCAAGTTGTTGTAAGTACAAAACAAATTAAATTAAACCCTCTCTCTCTTTGCTCTCACTTGAAAAACTTTCCTCGCCAACATTTTCTCCTGAATTCTTGCGTGGTCCATTAATATATAGATAAGTGTTTTTATTTTATTTTATTTTCTTTTGCATAATTACTACGTGGTCCTAAATGGACCTGGAATTAAGGAGGAGCTTCTCTTGAATCTTCCTAAGGGAATTTTTATCTTTTTTATTAATATGTTTTTCAGGTTAATTATTCTCCACCAAAATTCAAAAATAAAAATAAGTTTTTGTAAACATCTTGTTCTTCTTTTTCTTTCTTTCTTTTTTTTTTTGGCAAAATTGGACTTATATTTTGAAAGCATTTGAAAAGCTATAACAAGCCAAATGAATACATAGGTGACGGTGATTGGCTTGGTAAGTATAATTCAAAAAAAGAAAAAAAAGAAACAAGAAAAAAAAGTTATCAAATGCAGTTCATGGTTTTTTTTAATCATATAATATAATATATATATATATATATATATATATATATATATATTAAGAGGGAATAGATTCAAATCTCATGATGGCTACCTACCTTAGGAAATATTTTCCGACACTAAATGTTGTACGGTCAGATGGTTGCAATGTAAAATTAGCCGCTTAAGCTGGTCCGATACTCGGATTAAAATATATATATGTGTGTGTGTTTTTTTTCATGAGGAATGAAAAAGGGAATTCATTTCTAGGTATTAATCTCTTAATCGTTGTATTATGTTTAAGTTGATTAAGGGAGACACTTCTTTCCTTGAGAAAAACAAATTGAAAAATAGATACCAATTACCGTTAAACTAAATTCTTCGTTCAATTCCTCTCTTTCTCACAAAAGAATGTTTTAAATAAGGTAACAATACACCTAATTTCCTCACTTAGGTAAGGAAAGCTGCTTTTTATATTTTTTTCCTTTCCATAATGATCTATCAAATACTTAAACTACAAGCTGTGTCAATGACTTAGTCACTTTTTTTAATAATCATATCGCAACTATTTTTTTCAAAAAGTATCTTTAAACCAATATAATTTTGTTAAATGATTTTTATTAATTATTGACAAACCTAACAAAAAGTACTTTTCAAAAAGTACTTTTAGGTCATCTGAATAAACATATTCTAAATTAGTAATTCTTTCCAAAATGATTATAAAAAAAAAAAAAGTGTTTGTCATTTTTTAAATTATTTTTTTTTTTCAAAAAGTTATCACAAACACAGGAAGTTTCACGAGTTCATTGGGTACTTTTCTGCGTAGGAAAGGAATCATTAAAGCATAATTTAGTTATTTTTCTGATGAAAAATTCTGTATAGTTTTAAAATAAAGAACAAAAAATATGAAATTGGTCGACTTTGTTCGAGAAACGTTATTTTTCTTTATGATTATTGGAAAATAATGAATCATGCCAAAACCTAACATATCCAAAATTTTGAAAATGTTATGTATGAACCAACCAAATAAAGCAAAAGTTTTGCAAGAATTCTAGACTTATAATTCAAAAATCGACTTTTTTCGACTAATAATTATTCGACGTTTCATTTTTTTTTCTAATTCTTATTTTTGTAATATTTATCTTATTCTTATTCTTTCAAATCGTTGAACAAAAATACAGGTTGAATGGATAGAGAATGCAGGATCAATCAAGATCAACGGCGTCAATTACTATCTTCAAGATTATCATTGGCACCATCCTTCCGAGCACACCCAAGATGGCAAAACGTCTTATTTTCCTCTCTATCGCTCTTACTATAGTATAAGAGTATTTATATTGTTTAGCTATTATGTTATTATATTATTTTGATGACATATTGTTTTGTTAAATATTATTAGGTATCCTTTGGAGCTTCATATGGTACACACCAACAATAATCCAAATGTGACCAACAAAATAGCTGTTATAAGCATCTTATATAAGTTTGGTCCACCTGATCCATTCCTCCGTTTGGTAAACCAATCTCACCAACAACCTAATATATTAAATTGACTAGTAAAAAAAAATTACTTTATTAAGTTATTTATGATAAATTTAGTCCTCTTAATTAACTTAGCTTCTTTTTTTTTTCTTTTTCTTCAAAGTTAATTTTTCTACCTTGATTGACGCGGGACCTAATAACATAAAATAATAGATTTAATTGCAAGTTTAGCCTCTGAATTTTTTAAGTTGTGTCTCATAGGTCCATAAATTTTCAAATCCAAGAGGAAATTGAAAGATAAAAAACGTTATGAAAACATTTCTTTTTTTTTTTAATTTTTTATTACGTGTAGGGGCTTATTAGTTACAATATTAAAAGTTTGATAATTAGACTAAGGATGTGTTTGGAAGTGATTTTAGCATGACCAAAATCACTTTTACCATTATCAAAATCACTTCTATTTTCATTGATCATATTAGACAAATTAAAAAATATATATATTATAGGAGAGCTTAAAATCACTTTAAAGGAATTTTTAAGTTGATTTTTAAGGTATCAATTGGACGATGATTCTCGAAAATCAATTATGCTTAAATTTCTTTTTCAAAATCACTCATCTTAGCATCACTCCCAAACATACTCTAAACTTGAAATATAATCAAAATAATACGATAAAGACTCGAACTCGAGACGTTTCTTATATATTTTGTTTTTGTTGGATATCAGATAGAAGGGGACATAAAACGGCTAAACATTGAAGGAGGTGAGAGATGGCTCGGAACAGTGGATCCTAGACTTGCATGGCCAATGTATAGTTGGAGTGAGACATACTTCAGATACATGGGATCGCTCACCACTCCTCCTTGTACTGAAGGTGTCATTTGGACTGTAATGAAAAAGGTATTTTAAGAATCCGTTTCCGTAACATTTTTGTTTCTTGTCGGTTCATTTTTAATTTTCATTTCTTATTTATGGATTGTTTTCTCTTTTTCAATAAAAAACAGGCTTGTAACCGTTTCTTGTTACTTGGTTTCGAAAGTTTTGATTAAACGTAAAGGTTTTGTATGATATCTAATTATTTAAATTAAATATTTAAATTATTTATTTTATATTTATTTTTTGATATTTATCACACATTTTAAAAATACAAAATGATAAAATAATTTTTTATCTATTTAAAAAAATGGAAATAAGAATAAAAACTTAATTTTGTTGTTTCCAAAATTTTATACAAATTTGTTCTTAGAAGAAAAAAAGAGTAAAACGAGTCGTTATCAAATGCTTTTGTTTGTAAAAAATGGGAAATGAGAAACAATAACTTTATGACCCATTTGGTAATGTTCATGTTTCTTATTTCTCGTTTTCAAATTTACTAAGAAAGCCTTAACATTAGACAACTATATACGTTTATTTTTTCTCAATTTTAGAAACATTCTCAAAATGGTATAGAAACTTGGAAAACAAAAACAAGTTTGTTTTATTTTTGATCACTCGATCCTAATTTGTTTCGAAACCTAAATAAAAAGGCAGTCTTATCATTATTGAGTCCATGCCATGTAATTATAGTTTTTATTATTAAAAAGGAAAAAAAACAAGAAATTCGAAACTTTACCAAAGGGTTTAGTCCTAATATTCTTTTGTTTTTTCTCATCTCTTATTTTTCTTTCTTTTAATCCCCATTGTTATCTCATTCCTTTGTTCTTAATCTTATTATAATTAATTATATTCAGATACAAACTGTCTCGCCCTATCAAGTTGAGCTTCTTAAACAGGCCGTTGTGGAGGTAAGTAATTTTACATCATCTTTTTGAATTCTATTTAAAAGATTAAATATATACTATAATTCATCGGGTTAAATTTTTGAATTTATTAGTCGTTTAACATAGTTTTAAGAATATAATTTTCTGTGTTAGAACTTCTGTATTGTTAACCAGCTTTCACATCGACTTTTTAATGTATTTGCAGGAGAAAAATGCAAGGTCATTGCAAAACATTAATCGTCGAGAAATTTTCTACTTTGGCCCATTGCTAGGGAGAAAGAGTGCAGCCTAAATTCTCACAGAAGGCATTGCTAATAATTATTTATGTATCAAATAAAATGCCAAAGTTGTATTACTATTAGATTACTTGTGTGTGATTTATTCCAACCGTATGTTTAAATTCTTATCTAAAGTTTAAGTGTGACACCTGTTAAAGAATGAGTGGAAACATTATATTAGTTTATTGGTTAGAATTTTCACGAGAGTTATGTTTGATAGTTAATTTGTAGTTGTTGTAAGTTAATTGAGTAGTTGAAGAGTGGATCGAAGTTGAGAGAGTTTATACGCTTAGTGGAAGAGTGGCGTTATGGTGTTGGTTTGAGAGAAATTTTAAGGTTAGTGGTATGTTTCGTGGATTAGTGGTCAGTTTTCTTATTTCCTTGTAAATTTCTTGTAACAATTCTCAATTCAATGAATAGAAGTTCTTCCTTCTTACGATTTCTCTCTTGCTTCCGCTTTGTTGTTCATTTTCATTTTCGTTACAACACCTTGAGAGAATTTAATTTTTTTTTTCAAAGCTAAATAAATATATGTTCTAGTCTCTAATGTTTGGGTAGTTTTTCAATCCTCAATTTAGTCTACTATGTTTTAACATTTTTCAATTTAATCTCCTATGTTTTGAAAATTTTCTCGAGCCTTCCTCAAAACAAAGTACAATTAATTTTGATATTTTTAAAAATTAACTATTTTGATTTTTTTTCCCTAGAAGAAGTTTGTCGATCACGCATTTTTATCATTTTGTTAGTATTTCAATGTTTTTGAAAATATGCCAAAGCGAGCATAGTTCAGCTGTAATTGATATATGTCTCCAAGCAAGAGGTTGTGAGTTTGATCCCCTACCCCATATTTATGACGACCATAATAATAATAAGTTTTTGAGTTATGCTCACTTTGGCATACTATACCATTTTTTTAATAAGTTTTCTAAGTAAAAATTTAATAGAAGGTAACGCGTTCATAACATTAATATATATCGAAGTCTAAAGTTGAGTTGATGGATTAAAAGTTTCGGATAAATATTAAAGGAAAAGAATCTCCTTAAATTAACTATACAAGAATAACTTTATTAAAAAAAATATATGAAAAAGCTATCAAAGAATAAATTATACAAATAAATAAAAAAATAGAAAAGGTTAGGAGGAGGTGTTAGAGTTGGTTCATCTTCATCCACCCACTCTTCTTTTTCTTTCTTTGTTTTATTTTTTCCACACCCACTCTCCTTTTATTTCATTTATATTTTTCCTTCTATTATTTTTTTCTAAATGCATTTAAAACGCGTTTTCACGGGAAAGGTTAAAAAAAATATATAATAAAAATAATTTGTCCACGTGATCCAATTATTATAAATAAATTAATTAAACATATGTGCGAGACTATATATCTTCAAGTTATAAAAGGCATACATTTAGCCCATGTTTACGAATCAGAATGAAAATAAATCGGAATCAAATAAATCGGAATGACAATGTTATTCCTTTGATACTGTTTACCAAAACTTTTCTGGAATCGAAAACAGACTCGCCCGAATGAATTTGTTGGTACTAGAAATGTTAGAAAAAGTGAATAGAACTTATTTGATGTTGTTTACTAAAACTATCTGAAATCGGAATCAGATATATGAAAATTACTAGTATACCTGTTTCTTCTTTCTAGCTAATTACAAATACATTGTCCTGCTTATTTTTTTAATTACAAAAATAATATATTTTAATTTATTTTATTACTATATTATATATTGATAGTAAATATATTTTTTTACCATAACAATTTATTTAATATTAATATTAATAAATAATAAATAATTAAAATAAAATTACATCCACTAAAATGCTATTTTATTATAATAATTAATAATAATGAATTATATTTTTTTAAAAAAATAAATGTAAATTTATAATATTTTATAATAAAATTACATCAACCGATACAAGTAATAAAAATTTTTATTAAAAGAAAAATTATTAGTAGTATAAATGAAAAAAATAAAAAAGTATTAAACAATGAAATAAAATGGTATGGTTTGATTAATCACGAGAGAAAATGGTAAAAGTAGAAAATTGATTCAAATAAATATGTGTGTCCCACGAAATAAGAAATGAGAACAAGATTGATGATAGGAGAGAAGTAAGATTGCCCTTTTTAAGAAATGAGAATGAAGAAAGTGGTAGGTCCACCATTTGATTCTCATTGCTGAAATTTGGTAAACAACATTAAAGAAAATGAAAAAGTTTATTCTCATTCCTTCATCCTCATACCCTTGAAGTAAATATGGCTTTAGTTGTTTTAACTCATTGTTTTAGTCTACATGAACTTGGCTCAGCAATTAATGTATCTTGCTTATTTTCCAACGATGGAAGGTCCAATCTCATCTCCAAATTGTTACTAAAAAAATCTCGTAAGATCTAATATATCAAATTACTAATATGAATTGGAATAATATGAAGTAAAAAATTGAACTCAAGAAAGAGCATTAAAGAGATGGTATTTAAGTAGTGGTTAAGTTGGATCTCGTGTAAAAAGAGCATTAAAGAGATGGCTTAGAAGGCTTAATAGGAGGAGTAAAAAGTATCTATTAGATCATTATGATATGATATTGAGAGAAACAGAATCAATTGCACACAATGAAGACCATAAATATTGTGAACTAGTGTAGTGGGTTATATAGATCCAACTGGTAAACTGGAAATAAGTTGAAACAAAATACTCAACTTAATCTGTTGGAGGAGAATTTTCACTGAAGACGTCGCAAGTCCTGATATGACAGGAGTTACACGTGGCTCTAAGCTTATGGGGCCAAGGTTCATCACCTCGGACTTCATATTTGTTATCGAGACGATTGCAAGTAGTCGACCTGATCTTATCCTTCTCGGTTGAATTGGCCTGAAGATTTTTGGTTGGGTCTTACTCTCCGACACATTCTATGACAACACGCCACATTTCTCAGTTATCTTATAGAGCCATTAGAGCCCTGTGGGAGGTCCTACGAAGATTCTACCTATAAATAGAAACCATTCACCAGGTACGCGAATACTACATTCTCTCTCGAATATAGCTTGATCATCTACTGACTTGGACGTTGAAGTGTCTTCTGTTTTTGCAGGTTCCCTACTCGACATGTTTCCAGTTCACCATCCATGTCATCTTTTGTCTGAGCCGAGGTTCACGGATTTGGTCATTTTCTTGATCAAACATAATACAACAACTAAGACGGGTAAAAAACAGAATCATCAATGATTTTTCTTTACACCCGGTCAAGCCAATGTCCAAAGAAGAAAAGACATTGAGATTGGGATCATAGCTTGAGAAAATGCATTGAAAAGATGACTGAATAAAAATATTAGCTAGTTGAGCAAAGGCCGAAAGATGTTGACCAAAAGACGTCACGGATGAGATTACGAACAAAATAGATGTCAAGTTCAACATACTTCATTCGGGAGTTCTAAGAACGGGATTTGCACTAAGGTGAACAACACCAATATTGTAAACCCAAGAACCACAAGCCAAGATGAAGGAATCAAGAGTTCCTTTAGAAGAGTGTGAAGCCAGATTAATTCAGTAGACACGCCGGCCAAACTTCGAAATTTTGCCTCTGTGTTTGATCTAGAGATGATACTCTATTTCTTAGAAGTTCCCAAGCTAAACCATTACAACCAAATAAAATACAACCAAATAAAATACATAATCTCAAAGTGGACTTACGATCATTTGGATAACATGCATCGTTGGGATTGGTGTGGAGCCAAATTGACGTTGGATCGAGTCAGGGACGTGTTGGGATGAAAAGGTTTAAAGTTGTGTGTTGTAGGGGCTAGTTGTCCCGAGGGGATAGCGTCTTGACGCTAGAAGGAGCGTAGAGATGCTGTTGCATTTAGGCTGGATTTCGGAAGCACGTGTGAAGTCATCTTTTGGTGCTGCTGCAATGCTATGCCCAACGCTCAACACTACGACATTTTTGTTTATAAAAAGGGATCACTTTTTGTTTTTTAAGGCAGCCATGAGAGTTGAGTTTCGGCCAAATTTCAGAGCGATTTTGTGGTAGATTTGAGGCAACGGCTCGGGACATTGGTCGCACACGAAGAGGGTAGATCGAGATCATTGTATGGGGTAAAATTGTATTTTGATTCTTTGTGAGTTCTTTCATTCATGTACCTAACTATAGTGTTGAATACTTAGAACCTACGGGCTTTTGTTGTCTTATGTCTTCAAATTCTTATACTAGTAGAAAAGTCGCGAGCTTGTTGTAGTCGATCAACAAGCAGTCGGATCGACCCAACAATGATAGGCCAGAGGGGCTCGGTATGGAATGAACTTCTAATCATGTGATCTTCCATGACAGTTGTGAACAGTGAAAAAGTTTGGAGGAAAAAAACTGTCATAAATGATGGGGGTGCATTTTTGGTGAGAAAAAACAATATTTTTCGGATTTTGTAAGTTTTATGACAGTTAAAAACTGTCACGGAAATCGAATTTTCAATGACAGTGAAAAACTGTCACGAAATGGTGGAGGCGTGATTTTGGCGGGAAAAAAACGGTAATTTACGAAAATTTTCATGCTTTTATGACATTTTATAATTGTCAAGAAAAAAAATCAAGTATTTCATGACAATTACCTAGACCATCTTGAGAATGTATGACATATAAAAAGTGTCACAAATGATTTTGAGCCTGTTTCATTTCTGTCGGAAAAACTGCAGCTTTGTTAACGATATTAATTATTTCGAGATTGTCCGGTCGCATCGAGTATAGATTTATGCTTAATAGTTTCCCCAAATACTCCATGAAACAAGTAAAAAATGATATTTGGTATAGTGGTATGCTTATCGTGTGTAATTGTGTCATTCCTCTCTTTGGTCCCGAGTTTGAGCCCTATGAATTTAAATTATTTTTCCAACCCTCTATTAATATATTTTTATAATAATAATATAAGTTAATTCTAGTTTCACCAAGCATTTCGTAAACAAAATATTCATATTTAAATTATACCCGAGTTTTTTTATTGGAATGAAAGGTAGTCAACTTAATTGAATGCTTAGTAATTATTTTGGGTTTAAATTGGAACTAGTTAGGTTTGTTGGAGACTATTTATCGTCGGCCATGTGTCGACAAAAGAAAGGTATTGTTATTTAAGAATATCTTTGATCATGATACTCTGTGCAAGTCTCAGAAGTAATAAATTGAGGGTTATCGGGACCAATGATGCGAGCTTCCGAAATACCATGAGATCTTCGTAAAGTTGATAATTATGAGTGTTATGACGAATTTGATTGGGAAGTTTAGTGGCAAAAATAAGGAGATTCATTAGCTCGTTATTTAGTCAGACTTGGTGAGATGACAGAATCCATAAAAATTATTCAACAAGCTTTGGAAGGAATTCCAGAGGGACCCTATGAGAATTTAGAAATACGATGTTTTGATCGAGAAAGGTCTCCGTAATGGAATGACTTTGAC